GGGCCACAGACTGGTACCTGTTCACAGCCCAGGGGTTGGGGACCACAGCCCTAAGGGATCTCCTGTATTCCAAACATAATCTTCCTTACCTCCGTAATGGAATAGCAGTCCAATTTCCTCTCTAGTTGGGATCAGTCAGTAGCTCCCTTCTTTGCCTGTTGATTAAGAAGCATGAGGAATTCTAAGTGGCCAGGCAGCAGTCTTAACTTCTATTTCATCATTATGTTTCCTGGTGGGAGCATTCATCCCTTTGGAACTAAGACCTCTAAGCCAGCAAAGTATAAGGTCGTGGGAACAGAAAGCAAAAATTTTGCAAGTGGGTCACTAGTGATGATAGTGAGTGGTGCCACTCCCATTTTTACCTCTCAATTCTCAAACCCATGTATTCTGGCTGTGGGAGAAACAGTACCATGTATTGGACACTGATACAGAGCATATACAGCCTTCTTGTGAACCTTTCCCTAGCCTTGCCCAGCATTGCTACCTACCCGGTGCTGTAACTAAGTTTTCAAAAGTCAAAAGGCCATTTACCATTCTGTCAATCCAGCTGCTTCAGGATGGTGGGGAACATGGTAAGTCCAGTGAACTTCATGAGTATTGGCCCATGGGTGTACTTCTTTTGCAGCGAGGTGAGTTCCTCAATCAGAAGCAATGCTGTGTGGAATACTGTGATGGTGGAGTGGAGACAGGCATTCTGGAAATCCAGAGATGGTAGCTTTGGCAGAAATGTTGTGTGCACGGAAGGCAAATCTATATCCAGAATAAGTATCTGTTCCAGTAAGAGCAAAACACTGCCCTTTCCGTGATTTCCAGGTGGGCCAATATAATCAACTTGCTACCAGGTAGCTGACTGACCACACCAGGAAATGGTGCTGTATCAAGGTCTCAGTGTTTGTCTCTGTTGGCAGATTGGGCACTCGGCAGTGGCTGTAGCCAGGTTGGCCTTGGTGAGTGGAAGCCTATGTTACTGAGCCCATGCATGACCTCCATCTCTGCCATCGTGGCCACTTCGTTCATGAGCCCACTGAGCGATGATAGATGTGGCTGGGGAAAAAGACTGTTATCCACAGAATAATCTTATCCATTTGATTATTAAAATCCTCCTCTGCTCAGATCACCCTTTGGTGAGCATTCTGAGCATTCATGTGGGACACAGATATCTTCACATTATTTTGCCCACTCAAAATGTTCTATTCACAAAGCCCTTCGTCAAATTTCATTGTCAACACTGCTCAAATAGTGTTTCTCCCAAGTTCCTGACCATTCAGCCAAAACTCTGGCCACATCCCATGAATTGGTATATAATCACATATCTGACAATTTCTCCTTCTAAACAAAATGAAGAAACCAGGTGCATTGCTTGAAATTCTGCCCACTAGGAGGAATTCCCTTTTCTGCTGTTCTACAGGGATGTCCCAGAAAGGGGACTGGTAGTCCTATAATTTTCCATTGTTAGGTGATGCCTGCATATTATGCAGAATCATCTGTAAAAAAGCTCCTAGTCTTCTCTTCCTTTGTCAGCTAATCGTAGGGAACTCCCCATGAAGGCATAGGTGCAGGTTCAGAAAAAGTAAATTCTCCCTTACTCTGATTTTAGCTCTATTCAGGCCTTCAATAGGTTGGATAAGGCCCATCTACATTGGGGAGGGCAGAGTGTTTTACTCAGTGTGCCAATGCAAATGTTAACCTCATCCAAAAATACCTTCACAGACACACTCAGAATAATGTTTAACCAAATATCTAGAAACCCCATGGCCAAGTCAGGTTGACACATAAAATTAACCATCACGCTGGGATTAACTTAACTTGGTCACAATATATTATTTTCTTTATTTATTTTCTTCGTTTCTTAGTCTCGCTCTGTCACCCTAGCTAGAGTGCAATGGCATCATCACAACTCACTGAAACCTCAGACTCCTGTGGTCAGACAATCTTCCTTCCTCAGCCTCCTGAGTACCTGGGACTACAGGCCCGCACCACCACACCAGGCTAATTTTTTCTAAATTTAGAGACGGGGTCTCACTCTCGCTCAGGCTGGTCTTGAACTCCTGAGCTCAAGCAATCTTCCTGCCTCAGCCTCCCAAAGTGCTGGGATTACCTGTGAGCCACCATGCTTGGCCATCCTTTCTTTTTTAATACATTGCAGTATTCAGTTGCTAATTGTTTGTTTTATTTATGTTTTTGTTTATGTACATGACTAAAATTTATATGTAATTTTCCTTTCTTTTATAGTCCTTTTTGGTTTTGGTACAAATGTTATACTACAAAAAATGAATTTAGAAATGTCTCTCTTTTTCTGTTCTCTGAAAGATTTGTGTAAAGTTAGAATGTTAGAATGACTTATTCTTTGCAAGTTTGGTGTAGAACATTACAAGTGAAGTGAATTGCTTTTTAAGTGCTAATTCAATTTCTTTAAAATTTATAGGACTAATCAGGTTTTCTGTTTCTTCTAGAATTGGTTTTGGTCATGTATATTTTTCTATAAATTTATCAATTCCACTACAGTATACAAGTTTTTGGCATCACATTAATCATGATATTCTCTTATTATCCACAATGTGTTATAGGTAATTTTCTCAAGATCTGTTGGCCTGAACACTAATTATCTTTTAAGCTACATCTACTCTACTCTTAAATTCATTAAATTTTTATTCTTCTTTTATTATGGTAAAATAAACATTACATCACATCTGTCATTTTAACTTTTGTTTTTTTGACGGGGTCTCACTCTGTTGCCTGGGCTAGAATACAGTGGCGTCATCATAGCTCACTGCAACCTTAAACTCCTGGGCTCAAGAGGTCGTCTCACCTCAGTCTCCCAAGTAGCTAGGATTACAGGCCCATACCACCACACCCTGCTAATTTTTCTTTTTTTAGGGGGTAAAAACAGGTTCTCACTATGTTGCCAGGCTGGTATTGAACTCCTGGCCTCAAGTAATCCTCCCACCATGGCCACCCAAAGTGCCAGGATTTCAGGTGTGAGCCACCACACGCAGCCCATTTTAACTATTTTTAAGTGTCAAATTCAGTGACCTTAAACACACTCACAGTGTTTTGCAATTATCACCATTACCCATTTCCATTAAGTTTTTATCATCCCAAACAGAAACTCTATACCCATTAAGCAGTAACTCTCCATTCCCTTGGTATCGTCTATCCTACTTTCTGTCTCTATGAATTTGCCTCAGATAAGTGAAATCATACAATATTTGTCCCTTAGTGTCTGGCTTATTTCACTTAGCATAGTTATTTTCAAGGGTCATTCGTGTAGTAGCATGTATCAGAACCTCTTTCCTTGTGTGGTTGAGTAATATTCCATCATAAGTATATACAACATTTTGTTTATCCATTCATCTGTTGATGGATGCTTCCGTTTTGGCTATTGTGAATAATGTTATGAACATCGATGTACAACTATCTGTTTGAGTCTTTGTTTTTAGTTCTTTTGGGTATACTACACATAAGAGTAGAATTGCTGGATCAAATACTAGTTCTGTGTTTAACATTTTCAGGACCCACCCAATTGTTTTCCACAGTGGCTATACCATTTTACATTCCCACCAGGAATGCACAAGGTTTCCAATTTCTCCACAGTTAGCCAACATTTAGATTTTTCTGTTTTTTTTTTTTTTGATACTAGCCATCTTTGGCAGTGTGAAGTGGCACCTCATTGTGGTTTTGATCAATTTCCCTAATGCCTGACGATATTGAGCATCATTTTGTGTGCTATTGTCCATTTGTGTATCTTCTTTAGAGAAATATCTAGTCAAGTATTGCCCATTTATTCTGAATATTAATCTGATATGTGATTTTCAAATTTTTCTTCCATTCTTTAGGTTGTCTTTACACTCTTAATAGTGTCCTTTGATGACAAGAGGTTTTTATTTTGATAAATTCAATTTATATATTTTTTTCTTTTGGTGCCAGTGCTTTTGCCTTAAGAAACCATTGCAAAATCCAAGGTCATGAAAATTTTCCTTTCTGTTCTCCTCTGAGAGTTTTATAGTTTTAGCTCTTAAATTTAGGTCTTTAATCCATTTTACAATAATTTTTATATATGATACAAGGTAAGAATCCAACTCCATTCTTTTGCATGTGGATATCTAGTTTCCTTAGAACCACTTATTGAAGACTGTCCTTTTCATATTGGGTGGTCTTGGAACCCTTGTCAAAAATTAATTTACCATCTATGTGAGGATTTATTTATGGGCACTCTAGTCTATTTGTCTGTCTTTATAATGTCTATCTTTATGCCAGTACCACTTTGTTTTAATTAATGTAGCTTTGTAGTAAATTTGAATCAGGAAGTGATGACTCCAACTTTGTTCATCTTTTTAAGATTGTTTGTGGTCATTCAGGCAGGGTCCCTTGGATATCCACTGTATTTTTCTGTTTCTTCAAAAATGCCATTTGGTATTTTGATAGGGTTTTGCATTGAATCTGTGTATAACTGTACATAACATCGTCATCTTAATAGTATTGATCATTCCAAGTCATGAACAGATGTTTGTTCATCTACTTATATTTACTTTTTATTGACGTAGATTTTCTTTAATTTATTTCAGCAGTCTTTTATAGTTCTCAGTGTATAAGTCTTTTACGTCCTTTGTTAATTTATTACTTTTATTCTTTTTCATGGTATTTTCTTAATTTCCTTTTCAGATTACACATTGCTAGTGTATAGTAATACAAATGATTTTTGAATGTTGATTTTGTATATTCAACTTCGTTGAATTTTTTTATCAGCTCTAACAATTTTTTATGGATACTTTGGAATTTTCTACATATAAGGTTATGTCATCTGTAAACAGAGATAATTTTGTTTCTTTCTTCCCAATTTAGATGTGTTTTATTCTTTTTCTTGCTTAACTGCTCTGGCTAGAACTTACAGTACCATGTTGAATAGAAGTGATGAAAATGAGCATCCTTGTTTTAATGCTGATCTTAGGGGAAAAGCTTGTTTGTCCTTATTGTTTATGTGTGTAAAAATTTTTTTTCAGGTTTTCCTTAGGTGATGCTAGGAGACCTCTTCATGAAACAGCAGTTTTGGTAGAAGATGTGGTACACACTCAGTTAATTAATCTGGTAAGAGCATATATAATTTTATTTGATGTCTTCTCTGCATTCTGCTTTTATTGGGATTGCAACCCAACACTTTAAAAAATTTATTTACATCTGGAATTCTTTTTCGTTAGCATTACTGAAGTATAATTTACATATAATGAAATTTCCCAATTTGCATAATTATGAGTTTTAGAAACAGAGTATTGTCATGTAACTAACAACATGATATAGAAAATTTCCATCATTGAAAACAGACCGTTGTTCTCCTATGCAGTCAGTCTTCTTACCACAGCCCCTGGCCCTTGGCAAACAACTCATCTTTTTTATATTCCTCTAGTTTTTCCAAAAGTTATTAAAAATTTTTTTATTTTGAATTTAGACTTCCAAAAAAAATTTTACAAACATTACAGAGAATTCCCAGATACCCTTCAGCTTCCTCTAATGTTAGCATCTTACATAACCATAATATAGTTATCAAAACCATGAAATAATATTGGTACATTACTATTAACTAAATTACTGACCTTATTTGAATTTCATCAGTTTTCCTACTAATACCCCTTTTCTGTTCCAGGGCCTGATCTAGGATATGATGTTGGTTTAGTTGTCATGTCTGTGTTGTCTCCTTCTATCTACAGTAGTTCTTCAGTATTTCCTTTACTTTTATGACCTTAACAATTTTGAAAAGTAATAGACAGTTAATTTGTAGAATGATCTTATATTTTTATTCGTCTGATGTTTTGTTAGGATTAGAATGAGGTTATGCATTTTTGGCAAGATTACCACAGAAGCGATGGGTCCGTCTCCGTGCATGATATTATTATCATTATCCAGGGGTTCATGATATGTTTTATTTGTGATATTAAACTTGATAGCTTCTTTAAGGTGGTGTGTGCTGAGTTTCTCCACTATAAAGTTACTATTTTTTAATTTCCTGGTTAGTAAGTACCTTGAGGATGTTTTATGACTATGCAAATATTCTCTTTCCCAAAAATTTTGCCTATGAATTTTACCATTCATCAGTGAATCTTATCTGAGACAATTATTACTGTGGTATTTGCCTAGTGGTGATTTTTTCTGTTTCCTTCTTTCCTTTTGCCTTTATTAATTGCAATTCTTCTTAAAGGAAAAACTGTCCTTTGTTCCTATTTATTTATTTAGTTTTCTATGTAGTATATCTATATGGACTAATAGATGTGTAAATATTATTCTAGGTATCATTATCCAAAACTATCATTATTTCCTTTTTTTGCTGAGTTTGTTCCAGTGTTGGCCATTAGAAACACTTTCAAGTCCTTTTCCCATTATTGTATTGGGTTTTTGGACTTACATCCTACATATATTAGGAATATTAGTCATTTGTCTGTGATGTATGTTGCAAATATGTTCTTCCAGTGTGTCAGTTGTATCAGTTATCCCTAAGTTTGTTTTTGTGGGTTTTGTTTGGCACACAAGTATTTTTATTTTAACGTAGTCAAATGTATCACTCTTTTATGCTTTTGGATTTTGAATCACAGTTAGAAAGCCTTTCCCTATGCAAGCATACCACATTAATTGCACTTCATTTTATTGCGCTTCCCAGATACTGCATTTTTTTTTACAAATTGAAGGTTTGTGGCAACCCTGCATCAAGCAAGTCTGTTGGTACCATTTTTTCAACAGCATGTGCTCACTTTGTGTCTCTGTGTCACACCTTGGTAATTCTCACAATATTTCAAAGTTTTTCATTATTATTATATCTGCTATAATGATCTGTAATCAGTGATCTTTGATGTTGCTATGGTAATTGTTTTAGGATGCCAAGAACTGCACCCATGTAAACAATGAACTAAATTAGTAAATGTTGTGTGTGTTCTGACTGCTGCATTGACTGGCCATTTCCCTATCTCTCTCCCTGTCCTCGAGCCTCCTTATTCCCTGAGACCCAACAATATTGAAATTAGGCCAGTTAATAAGCCTACAGTGGCCTTTAAATGTTCAAGTGAAAGGAAGAATTTATTTCACTTTATTTCACATGTATTTCACTTTAAATCAAAAGCTAGAAAGGACTAAGCTTAGTGAGGAAGGCATGTTGAAAGCTGAGATAAGCTAAAAGCTAGGTCTCTTACACCAAACATACAAGTTGGGAATGCAACGGAAAAGTGTCTGAAGACAATTAAAAATGTTACTCCAGTATACATTTAGTGATAAGAAGGTGAAACAACCTTACTGCTGATATGAAGAAAGTTTAAGTGGTCTGGATAGAAAATCAAACAAACTACAACATTCTCTTAAGCCAAAGCCTGATCTAAAGCAAGGTCCTACTTTTCTTTGATTTTATGAAGGCAGAGAGAGGTGAGGAAGCTGCAGAAGAAAAGTTGGATTGGAAGGACATTCAGATCAAGGAAGCTTAAAGGTTCCCAAATAAGTTCAACCCCAAAATCTCCTCCTCTAAACACATTATACTCAAATTTTCGAAAGTCAAAACAGCAAGAGAAAAGCATCAATGTCATATATAAGGGAATCCCCATTAGATTAACAGGAGCTTTGTCCACCGAAACCTTAGAAGTGAGAAGGTAATGAGATGATGTAATCAAAGTGCTGAAAGAAAAAAATTGCTGGCCAAGAATATTGCACCCAGCAAAGCTATACTTCAAATGACAGAAAAATGAAGTATGTCCAGACAAGCAAAAAACTGACAAAATTCATCACCAGCCTTACATGCAATACTTAAACAACTCCTAGATCTGGAAGCAAAAAGACACTAATGGTTATCAAGAAAGGATGCAAAACTATAAAACTCACTGGTAGAGCAAATAAACAAAGGAGAAAGAGAAAAGAATCAAATTGTAGCACTAGAAAAAACTACCAAACCACAATGATAAAATGAGAACAACAAAAAAAAGAATGTGCAAAATAACCAGAAAAAATTTTAAAAATGAAATAAATACTCACCTATGAATAATAACCTGGACTGGAAATAGATTAAATATATAGACTGGCTTAATGGATAAAAAATATGACCAACTATATGCTGCCTACAAAAAACTAACTTCACCTATAAAGACATGTAAACTGAAAGGGAAGAAATGGAAAAAGATATTCCATGCAAGTGAAAACCAAAAGTGAATAGAAGTAGCCATACTTATATCAGATAAAACAGATTTTAAGTCAAAAACAGTAAAAAGAGACCAAGAAGGTTATATGATGATAAAGGAATCAATTCAGCAAGAGAATATAACAACTGTAAATGTACGTGCACCCAACACTAAAACTCCCAAACATATTAATATAAACCAAATATTATTAGATCTAAAAGGACAGATAGACTCCTATACAATACAGTTGAACACTTCTAGACCCCACTCTCAGCATTGTACAGCTAGACAGAAAATCAACAAACACTGAATATAAATGGCACTTTGGACCAAATAGACACACCACCTCAGTAATGGTTTATGGTTATGTTTTAAAATAGTAATAAAGTTTCCTATGTAGAACTTCAATTATAAGGGTTATCAAAATAGTACAAACTAATATAATTTGTGATTGCATAAAATAAAGAAAGCAGAGGTACCATGGGGACCTACTGAATCACAGAATGGAAACAGTCCTCTAGCTAACTAAACATTCAGATTTTATACTAAGTCAAAACATGTATATGTAACTCAGCAAACCGGAACACACTCTGTGTTTACACAAATGGGATAAAGGAGTCCACAGATACCATCTGGGAAAAAATTCTTGGCCTTTCTGTCTGTTCTTACTGTGGAGTAAATGAAGTACCAGATATTTAGTATAAACAGACGGAAAACACACCTGCTTTGGGGAAAACACACGCACATGCACATAGATACAGAGTAGTTCAAAATAGAACATTTTATGTCAGTAAAATCTGATCACTTTTCTTCATTTTTATGTAGAACTTTCTTTCCTTATGAATGTACTGTGGAAAATTTACTAATTTTTTCTGTACAAGACTTGCTTTTGATTGCTCTTAATATTTTTTACTTAGTATAATTTTCTCTCATACATTACCACCTCATGCATCAAAAAGTACTATTGTCTCATCTTTTAAAAAAATGGTTGGTATAGCTGTTGACTGATACTGAGTTTTTAATCTATGACAAAAAATGAGCATATTCTAAGTAGAATGCCTCTTTAGCTACATTTTCCCCACCAATTGCCATGGATAGTTTGCTAAAGGCATGACCCAGAGGATCAACTGGGAAGGAATTTCCAGTCCTTCCCCCCACCATTCTTAATATCTCCTTTTTTTCCTGCTGCAGTATATCTCAGTTGATTCATTTGAAAAACAGTCTTCAATGTCAGAGAATTTCAGAGTATAAATTGCTTAGAGTTCCAGTAAATTATAAGTAGTGTCTCATGTTACTTGGTTTTCTTAGCATAGATATAAAAGAGCATCTTCTCGCCTTTTCATGTGTGCCTCTTCCCATGCATTAGGCTTTTTAAAACGTTCTTCATTTGTTTTTCCTGCTGGTCTGCTAGAATCTTATCCCCTGACTTAAGCTAAGTTGTTCCAGCTATTTAGATCCTGTCTAATGCTTGTATTTTTTTATCTGTGCTAAAAGTTTCAATTCTGGCTAAAACTTCTCATAAATGTCTAATACATAGGTTCCAACTATTTCAGATTTACCAAAGATGTAGACCTTTTGTAAAACTCCCACTCTCGAGATTGAACTGCATCACTTTACTGAGATTGGTGGAGATTTGTGCCAACTAGAAATTGTCTGAGTTTATACTATGCTGTTGATAATACCCTTGTGATAATATCAAATATTGAATGAAGTTCAAAAACTGTAATGATTTCTGTTGGCTTTCTGGCTACTTTCATTTTTCTATCCATTCAGAGTTAAATATCAGACAAGTCTCTTCATTTTGTGCATAGAATATAATTAGCTAACATTCCATTTAAAAATCATACCGGATTTTCACTACATAACTTTACCAGGTAACTAGTAAGCTGTTCAGTCTGTTGAACTATGTTTTCATATGTGAATCTATTGTCCAGGTTATTCTTG